TGGGGTGCCAGATTCTGTCCCGGTTGCCCCTCTTCCAGTCCAGCTCTCTGCTGTGGCCCGGGAAGGCAGTGGAGGATGGCCCAAGTGCTTGGGCCCTGCACCTGCATGGGAAACCAGGAGGAAGCACCTGGTTCCTGGCTTTGGATCGGCGTAGCACACCGGCCGTAGTGGCCATTTGATTTGGGGAGTGAACCAACGGAAGGAAGACCTTTCTCTCTCTCTCTCTGTCCAACTCTGCCTGTCAAAAAAAAAAATAAATAAATAAAAAAAGAGATGATGAGGTGATTCAGATAGACACACCACTGCCTCTTGCCATGTCCTGCACCTCAGGACTCCCACCAGGTGTGGGCGCTAGACCTTGCACTTCCTAGAATTTGAGCTAAAGGGAACTTTTTCTTTACAGAATTACCATGCCTCAGGTATTTCATCATAGTGATGAAAAGCTAATACAACCCTCTGCAGATTTTATATTTAATCATGAAGATTTAGCTTGACATAAACATTTATCACATTGTCCTTTTGTTTCTTAGGCAGGTAAAGCTTCAGATCAGCCTGATAGTGTCTTGCTAGCATGTTTGGGAACTTTAGCCGGCTGTATTTAGTTGAAGGGTTTGTACAAGTTCTTGACCGTTTCGCTTTTGCCGCCAAGAAGCTCAGGATCAAACTGCAGATCAACTGCTACGGCTCTTCTCCTCTGCTATCATTCCTTGGCTCCTGAGCTTCCTTCCAGGTCTTTAAACTTTGTTAATGAGTGCTTTTTCATAGAATTTGCTTTTTTTTTAAAGATTTATTTTATTTACTTGAAAGACAGAGTTACAGAGAGAGGTAGAGACAGAGAGAAAGGTCTTCCATCTGCTGGTTCACTCCCCAGATGGCTGCAACGGCCAGAGCTGTGCTGATCCGAAGCCAGAAGCCAGGAGCTTCTTCCAGGTTTCCCAAGTGGGTGCAGGGGCCCAAGGACTTGGGCCATCTTCCACTGCTATCCCAGGCCACAGCAGAGAGTGGATTGGAAGAGGAGCAGCTGGGACTAGAACTGGCACCCATATGGGATGCTGGCGCTTCAGGCTAGGGCATTAACCCGCTGTGCCACAGTGCTGGCCCCTAGAATTTGCTTTAAGAGTTTCTGAAGTATAGATTAAAAGATATAAAAAGTCTTGCAAAAAGTAAAGCCTCAATAAACAATGCTGTTGACCGAAGCAAATAATGTGTCTGTTTAGTGAGATCTGACTAGTTTACTTTCTGAAGATTGTTTTTAGATGGAATTCTTGTGGTGTTGGAGTTTGGCATAGCACACAAAGACATCACCTGTAGCACTGGCATACCATATGTGTACTGGTTCAAGTCCTGGCTGCTCCAATTCCAATCCAGCTCCCTGCTAATGTGCTTGGGGAAGCAGCTGAAGATGGCCCAAGTGCTTGGGCCCCTGCACCCACGTGGGAGACCTAGAAAAAAGTTCCTGGCTCCTGGCTTCGGCCTGGCCCAGCCCCAGCATCCCTACCCTCCCCCTCTTATTCTCTCTCTCTCCCTCTCTGTAACTCTGCCTTTCAAATAAATAAAATAAGCTTCTGATTTTAATTTTCTATCCACAGAATTCTAAAATGTTAGAGCTGGAAAGGTAATCACATCTTCCAGTCCAATTCCAGATGTACTGAGTTGGGATTTGGGGGTTAAGTCCCCTGAATTTGTGGGAATTCTGGGATTCAAGACTAGGATCCGCCTGTCTTTTTGCAGGAGAAACAACTGAAGCCCAGCAGAACAAAGCCACTGTAATGTGAGCTGTTGGCAGACACCGGTGAAGAGCACCATACCCAGCTTTCTTAGCAAATTAACTGACCCTGCTGGGAGATAGGAAAAGCAGAGACAGGTGTTCGCTAATGAGTTTCTGTTCCCTTTAGATGGTAGGAAATGGGTGCTGGGTGTTGGGAAATGAAAAGACCTAAGACGATTTGCCTCAAATAAGAGCAACATCTTCTTCCATCTGTTCTGGGATTTTGCAGTTCACTAAACACTTTCCCCACATTATCTTGTTTCCATCCTAACAACAAGAAGATTTATCAAGGTGGGATTGTCGTCTACCTTTGCTTTAGACAAGAAAATAAAGGCGCAGTTACTGTGGTTGCAAGGCCAATAAAGGGAGGTGGAGTTGACATTTGAATACCTACCTATTGTTAAACCTCCCTTAAGTTCATAATACAGTCAATGTGTTTGGCACTTAAAACATGATTCATTGTTTCAAGTCACACAGCTCTATATGATTATTAAAAGCAGATTCAGGGGCCGGCACTGTGACGTAGCAGGTAAAGTTGCTGCCTGCAGTGTTAGCATCCCATATGGGCACCGGTTCAAGTCCCAGCTGCTCCACTTCCAATCCAGCTCTCTGGATGGGAAAGTAGTAGAAGATCGCCCAGGTCCTTGGACCTCTGCACCTGCATGGGAGACCTGGAAGAAGCTCCTGGCTCCTGGCTTCAGATTGACACAGAACTAGCCGCTGCAACCATCTGGGGAGTGAACCAGCGGATGAAGATCTCTCTCTCTCTCTCTCTCTCCCCCTTCCTCTCTGCCTCTGCCACTCTGTGTAAATCTGCCTTTCAAATAAATACATCTTTAAAAAAAAAAAAAAGCAGATTCAAATAACTTAGAAAATAGAGACTAAAAAATTTCAAAGTGTACTCTACTCTGCCATGCTTGCTCCCAAATAGTTTTGGGAGTTTTCAAGTTTCCTCCCCAGATGTTTTCCAGTAGTTTATATTCACGCAAAGATGAGAATTTCTTTTTTCTTCTTCCTCTTTTTCTTAATGGATCAAACTGCACACATTGCCTGGTTTCCTTTTTCTTAATTTTTTTTCCAAATGTACAAAATTGTTTATTTTTCTCAGCAATTTTGTCTCGGTCATGTTTACAAATCCTTCAGTCAAGGTCTACGTCTTTGTTTTTGAATGATTCATGTTTTAAAATAGGACAACAGCAACATTTGCACAAGTATTGGTGGTAAAGAAATATGAAATCTACCACTGATCTGATGGTGCAGAGGAACAGATACCGGTGCCCAGAAGTGGGGTGGATGGACTCCGAAAGTCTCAGATACTAATTTTCCCTTCAGAGCAGTGTTGTGATATGTGTTTTGCTGTGTTACAATTTTTGTGGATCTAAGTAAATTGCTATTTTAATTATGACTAACGTCACTATGGTTTTGAGGTGGATGAGGCACAGAGCCAGTGAGGGACAAGGAGCTAAGAACTGCCAAGAGCAAAGCCATTGGCACCACCCAAATCCTATCACCTCTGATTACACATGGCTGAAGACTCGGCACACTCACTGCCTATCTGCCTCTCTTTCCCTCATGCTCAGAGCACCAGGACACCTTCTTGGAGATCCATGGGCAGTCCCACCTCAAACTCTGCCTCCTTTTGTGTCTTCAGCCAGGCCCTGCCCTGAGCATCAGCCCTACCCCATAAAAAGGACAATTCCAGCCTGCTTGGTGGAAATTCTCTCTCTCAAGGTTGCCCACACTGGCACTGAGTGTGTGCTGTCCCTTTGTCTTTTCTTCTCACCTTTATCTATGTCTCCTGGTTGAATGTTTTAAAGATTTATTTATTTATTTGAAACTCAGAGTTACACAGAGAGAGAAGGAGGGGTAGAGAGAGAGAGAGATTTTCCATTTGCTGGTTCACTGCCTAGATGGCTGCAATGGCTGGAGTTGTGCTGATCCAAAGCCAGGAGCCAGCAGCTTCCTCCAAGTCTCCCATGCGGGTGCAGGGTCCCAAGGACTTGGGCCATCTTCTATTGCTTTCCCAGGTCATAGCAGAAAGCTGGATTGCAAGTGGAGCAGCCGGGACTTGAACCAGCACCCATAGGGGATGCCAGCATTGCAGACGGTGGCTTTACCGGCTACACCACAGCACTGGCTCCTGGTTGTATTCTTACATGCTGGAAGATAAGAATGTGGACTAATTCTAGTTGGGGTCCGAGTCCAGTGGGAACTTTTGAGCCCCCTGCCGGGGGGGGGGGGTGGTTCCCCAGCCCCACATATTTGACAGCACTGACTTCATTTTGAGCGTTTTCTTGTGAGCAGCTGTAACTGGCTGTTAGTCACCTTACATTGGCTGGCTGTTGAGCCACACTGACAACTGTGCCACAACCTGCAATGACAGAGTTTGGGCCCAAGACGTTTCCCATCAAGGCTGGCTTTGGCAGCTGAGATGATGCACCTCCTGGGGTGGTACATACCAGTGCCTTGAAACTGCCATTTGGGCCACGTGTCACTGTGACTCCATTCTTTGTGAATATTTACTCTGCAAAGGCATGGACTGTCAGAGGCTAAGCTGGAGTCAAAAATGCTTTCCTGCAGTGCTGAGGGCTTGGCAGCCTCTGGACCCAGGGGAGTGTTACCTGGGAGACACATAGTCCCTGGCCCGTTGGACAATGACTTCCTGGACACACTGTTCGATTAGCACTCTGTGCTGGAATAATGTTCTTTTACCTATTTCTTTGCCTACGTTTTCATATATTCCTTTTGCTTATTTGCTTCTGTGTGCATGGCAAGCAACCAATTAACTCAGGAACTACCTTTGCCTCATTTGGTTTGTTAGTTAAAAGAGAAAAGGACCAGCCCCTCTTAGAAAAATTATAACCCTTGAGGTTAAAACTGTCACCAGCTATTGGCAAACCGGCCTACCCAGGCTGATCCAGCATGACGAGGAGCTTTGGAATCAGAGTCACAAACTAGCCTAACAAGGACTCAGTAAAGTTATTATCTAATAGCTCTTGCTCAGTTTTCCCACCTGTAAAATGGGGATAAGAAAACTCTGTTCCATCGATTGTAGTAAGCATTAATAACTCATTAACGTTCAACACAATAACTGACGAGAGCGATGATGGCGACAATGGCAATGATGACGACGACAATAATGGCGATGCTGAGGGAAGGTGGGGGTGCAGCAACAGGTGGGGTTTAAACTGCAAGGTTATCAACACCAGGAATGGATGCCTAGGGGCACTTTTTATTAAAAGCTATCAAATCAGTCTGGCTCTCTGGAATGCCCTCTGGGGACGACATGGACAACCAAGCTCCTGTTTTGGAAACTTCAACATCCCAGGCTTTCAGGAGCCTGCGCTTGGTTAAACTTTTGGGGAAACAGAGAACTACAACTACCAGGATGCAACGGTTCAGGCTCCGCCCAGGACGTTGCGCCATCCTATTTTTCGCCGATCTGCCGGCCAAAACTACAAATCCCAGAAGGCTCTGCCGCAGCGCTCTTTCTAACCGTCTCGACACTCCCACTTTTTGAAGAGAAATTGAGCTCGTGTTGCTCATTGGGAAGTGTAGTTCGGTGGTGACCGAGCGCTCCAGGCCTGGGCGCTGCAATAAGGCGAGCGAACTGGCAGCCCTTGAGTACCCGCTACGCTCACCGTCCGCCCGGAAGAGTAATCTGGTTCGGTAGGACTCTGCACTCGGGGTTGGCTGCGAATGCAGGCTCCCGTTCTAGGCCTCAGCAGGTAAGGAGGAGGACGAGACCAAACGCCAGCCTGCGGGGGGGCGGAGAGCGCAGGGTGAATCCAAGCGGTGATAGGGGTGGGAGCGGGGCGTGGCGCCCCTTATCGCGGGGTCAAGGTAAGGCGTGCCCCGGAAATGGCGTGGAACCCAGGTTCCAGCCCAGAGGGGAAGAAGGGCATCCAGGTGGCCGGGTGGCGTTCTGGGTTGGGGCTGGCCGTGGGAGTTCTCGGCCCATAGCCTGGCCGCGCTGGCTGGTGGAGTCAGCTCCGGAGGCCTGGCCCCGGGGGAAAGTTAGCTGGGGTCTGCTTTGCCTCGGAACGGAGCCTCCCCTGCTCTCGGCCCCAGTGCTGGGGCTTGGAGGGGCTGGACGGCCTCTGAGGGTGGGTGTTTTGGGGGCCTTGGCCAAAGGGAGCCCCAGCCAGGCGGGGAAGGTTCACCGAATGCTGTTGGAGGACTCCCTGCCCACCGTCCCAATCGGTGCTTGGCGCTGGACAGGCCATTTACTGTGACCCACCGGCAGGGAAATCGGTGTCCTGCGCCCTGGGTCGGGGATGTGTTGAAAATAGCTCAGCTCGCAGGGTGCAGGAGCTGCAAAATAATCAGGTTGATCCTATTTTGGAGTAACTATAGGAAAAAATGGAAAACTGTACTGTGCTGAGTTACTACCTGTGGTTATTGATGACTAGTGTGGTTGCAGATCAGTTCTACTTTCCTTGATGTCTTTTTAAGATTCTTTTACAAACTTATTTGAAAGGCAGAGTTACAGAGAGAGGAGACAGAGAGGATCTTCTTCTATCTGTGGATCACTCCCCCAAATGGCCACAATGGCTGGAGCTGGGCCCATCTGAAGCCAGGAGCATCTTCCAGGTCTCTCGTGTGGGTTCAGGGGTCCAGGTTCTTGGGCCATCTTCCACTGCTTTCCCAAGCACATTAGCAGGGAGCTGGATCAGAAGTGGAGCAGCCAGGACTTGAATCAGTGCCCGTATGGGATGTTGGCACTGCGGAGTGCGGCTCAATCCGCTATGCCACAGTGCCGTCCCCTCCTTTATGTCTTTCTGTAGTGTCTGAATTTTGTACAGTGAGCATGTATTACATTTTCTTTTGTCTTAGCCTCCCAAAGGACTTACTTAAGTGGCATCATGGGTTGCAGTTTGGAAGGCTTGTACCAGGCCATGTGCAGACTGGCTTACCAAACACAAGAGCACTGAACGAAAGGGGGAGATTTATTGTGTGGTCTGTGTGAGCTCATGCTTTTCTCCTTCCAGCTCGGGAAGAGGCTGTTTTCACAAGTGTCATGCCCTTGGAGGTGGTCTTTTTCAGTCTGTTCCATTATTTTTTCTGGTTTAGTGTTGCCTTTTTCATTATCTGGTGGAGTTAGGTTGCACTGCAGAACTTTCTTGGGAATCTAATAACTCGACTAGAGCATGGGAAAGAGAAAAATAGTACAGCTAAAATACTTTCTTTTTGTTTAAATAATAGTTTATTTGAAAGACAGAGAGGGAGAGAAAGAAAGAGAGAGAGATCTTCCATCCACTGATTCACTCCCCAAATGGCCACAAAGGCCAAGGCTAGTCCTGGCTGAAGCCAAGAGCCAGAACTCCATCTTGGTCTTCCACGTGGGTGGCTGGGCCATCGTCTGTCTGCTTCCTTCCAGAGCACATTAGCAGGGAGCTGGATCGGAAGCTGAGCAGCCAGGACTGGAACCTATACTCAGGGCATGCCTTCTGGTAGCGTTGGTGTCACAGGCTGCACCACAACCCTGAGCCCGGGAACACCTTTCTAACTTGGAGTTGCCTTTTGCTTTTCATCAGGATCATTATTTGAACATGTGCAACTTACTGTCCCCGTGTGTGTTCTTTTCTTACAAAGGAAGCTTTACTGTGTTCTTCAGTTTTGCTCCATATGTGTTTCCTGGGACAAAAGCTTGTTAAATCAAGGCAGGAGCATGGTGAATAAATAAACAATGTTTATTTGAGTCTTCTTTTTTTCTTTTTCTTCCCAGCTTTTGCCCACTTTGCAAATAAAGGTTGAGATTGCTGCATAAGGATTTCCCTGTTAAAATGTCCTTGCCCCTTACAGAGGAGCAAAGGAAAAAGATCGAAGAGAATCGACAGAAGGCACTGGCTCGCAGAGCAGAGAAGTTATCAGCAGAACAGCCCCAGAGTGCAGGCGCGGGCTCCTCCATTGCCGCCGGCCCTTCCCAGTCCACGCAGGGCCCGTCCCAGAATCGTCCAAGGGAGCCTTCTCAGCCGCTGAGCCATGGTGTCATGTTCAAGCAGCAGAATCTCAGTAGTTCATCTCATGGTGACCAAAGACCTCAGAATTCCCCCGGTTTTCATCTCGGCACACCCAAGCTGGCAAAGGAGACAGAGAAGAGCCAAGAAGAGATGTCCACAGCCTGCCACAGCGCCCCAGATCCAATGACCCTTGCTAGGATCTCCCCTCCGTTAGCACAAAGTTCTCCAAAGGTCCCTAAGCAGCAGCTCTTGAGTTATGACTTAGGTCAAGGTCATTCTCAGGGGACCCAGTCAACACCCTTTGCTAACACAACTCGTGAGCCATTGGCCAACATAAAAAATTTCCAGAAAACTCCAGCCTCTTCTTCCAGACAGCCTCCTCAGGATCCTGACCTGGGGACCAGCACTGTAATGCCGTCCGCCTCGGGGCAGAATCCTTCTGATCCGCATTGTGGTTCAGGGGGTGTGACACCGAGGACAGAAAGACTCCAGCAGAAACTGGGGGCCTCCCTCCAAAAAGCAGTCACCTCCCAGCAGGGAACTTGCATAAGGAGTGGAGATCGGTTCCAGGTGAAGATCGGGTACAATGCAGAGCTCATTGCCGTGTTCAAGAGCCTGCCCAGCAGAAGTTATGGTAATGAGTCTTTTGTTCTTCGGATTTTTTTTTTCTTTCTAATTTTAGAGTCTCTCTGAATCTAACAGTTTCTCATAAATATTAAGAGAGTGCATCGGCACATTCTGTCCGTCTAGTTACCGCGTTTCTAGTTGAGCTGGTGTTTCCCTTTATAACAGACAGCCCCTCGAACAGCTGCCGTGCTTGGGAGCTGCTGCTTGCTTGTATGGAGAGTGCACGACTCCTCTGCCAGGTGCTTTGTGTGCGTGGCAGCATTTATGCCCCTCAGCAGCTTCTGTGAAACAAGGAGACGTGATTTTTGCTTTCAAAGCCGTGGCCCTGGCTCAGCAAGGTTCAGCAGCACAGTGAAGTTGACTGGTGTGGAGGTTAGAGCGGGGATGTGGCTACCCGTGCCACACCTCCTACTCCTCACACTGCTTTTCCAGACCGCCCTGGGATCGGGAAAACCCGCCTTCTAGTCCCAACTCTGTCCTTCGGGGCCTTTGTAGGTGAGGCCCATAACTTCCCTGGGCCCGAGTTGCATAGCACTATGTGGAGTTTAAAAATTACTTCTGTTTACTATTTGTTCTCTATGGAGATTTCATAAATCAGTAGATGCAGACGCCTGCTGCTCAACTGCTTTGACCTTGGCATCCATCATTCACTCGGAAGACAAGCTCTTGTAGAGTGCCCAAGTACAGATGATAACAGTGCCCGCCTTTTGTTTATTTCAGATCCTGCCACCAAGACGTGGAACTTCAGCATGTCTGACTACAGTGCCCTGAGTGAGTAGGCCCACTGTGGCCCCACGTGCAGGGAGAGCCTGGCTTTGGAAACCTTCTCTGGAGTGGTGGGTGTGGCCTGGCTCATGGTGTGTTGATGTGGATTCGTTCTGAGAGGAGGAGCGTGGTGGGGCCAGAGGCGTGGAGTCACCACACAGACCCTGGGAGCCGGGTGAAAGCAGGCCAGAGGCGAGCAGCCCGCAGACTCATTTATTTCAGTTGGTATAGCAGCTTATATAGCCAAGGCAGCCAATCCGGTCAAGGGCGGTCTTTGCCCTAACCAGTCACACCCTGTTGCCAGGCAGTTTCCAAAGCCATCCAATCAGCCTGTTGCCGGTCAGGCTCTGTTGCCATGTGGTTTCTGAAGCCATCCAATCACAGCCTATTGCCAGGCAGGCTCCATTGTCATGTGGTTTCCAAAGCCATCCAATCACAGCCTGTCGCCAGGCAGTTTCCATTGCCAGTGGCCATCTTGGCATGGCCTTCTCATTCCACCACAATGGTGTGCATGATTTTCTAGGGAAACCTTGGAGCTCACCATTGTGATGCTCCTCCTACCAAAACAGCCTAAAGAGGTGGCCCCTTGGGCAAAGGTCATTGACATTATGAGCAAAAGCTCATGGCCAGCAGGGCCTGTCATGCTGCAGGTCATGCTTAGCCCTTGAGTTATGCTCATATTATAATAGCTGTTTTACAGGTGGGGAAACGGAGGCCCAAACAGGCTAAGTAGCTAATGCCCTTACCACCAATTAGATTGTCCAGCAGTGTCAGGCCCTGCTCCCACACCAATCCCCACAACACTCTCCTGTGACTTAGCATGCAGGGAGGGGCGCTGCCCCACAAGCTTCCAACCATCGCCTCATTAGCCCCTGGGTGTACTGCTCTGTCTAGTGAGATTCTGTTGACTGTCTTAAGCCAAGATTCTTATTTCCTTATCCTGGTGCCTCCTCCCATGCCCAGCAGCCATTTCTACGTCCTCTCTTTCCCGCCTATTCAAAAAGGGAAAAGATAAGGATGCCTGTTTGGATCACTTCTCTGCAGATTTGGGCCTGGTTTCGGGGTGGGCCTGGGGGGCAGTAGAACAACTGCCTGCAGAATTTCCTGGCTCCTCCTGGGCCTGCACTTCCTGAAATGTGTGGCATTAGGGAGGTATCCCTTTCCTCTGTAGCTGCTCTGGTGGCTTGCAAGGGCTGCCCTGGCACAGATGGACGTTCACTTTGTCACTGGCCAGGTATTGGCAGGGCTGCTGAGACCTCTCTCCAGGGTGGCAAATGGCCTTTGTGCGTGTGAATCTTTGATGTTCTCTTCTTGTTAGGACCCCAGTCAGACTGGACTAGGGCCACCTAAGGACCTTGTTTAACTTAGCATCCTTCTTAGAGGCCTTATCTCCAAGGCCAGTTGTGTTCTGGGTGTTAGGTCCTAGACGTCGGAATTTTGGGAGGAACACAATTCAGTTGGTGACCTTTTCCAGGGAGACTCCTTTTTTCTTGTTTTGCTTTTTAAAGATTTAATTATTTATTTGAAAGGAACAGTTACAGAGAGAGAGGGAAAGACAGACACAGAAAGATCTTTCATCTGCTGGTTCAGTCCCCAGATGGCTGCAATGGCCCCGGCTGGGCGAGGCTGAAGCTGGGAGCCAGGAGCTTCTTCCAGGGGAGACTCATTTTTCAATCTATTTGTTCAGGGTTAGGAGGAGGAGACCCAGTGCTCAGCATTCTATGATTGCAGATTTTCATACCTGGTAGTATTCTCATTGCTCATTTTATGTTTGTGTTGTTCATTTTAAAGCAGTTACTTTTCCACTGTCAGTTTTGTTTGTTTTGTCTTCTTTGCACTTCTGTTCTCTAACCACAGTACTTGGTGACCTTAGATAACTTCTACTTTTGCAAATTCATTTAGGTTTCCTGTGTGATATGGTTGCTTTTTGTAATGTTTCCTATGGTTTTTGAGGACAGTGCACAAAACTTTGGGCACAGAATTCTTGAAGATGGATTTTACTAATGTTTTATACCCTTAATCTGATTTCTCCTGAGATCCCCTTGCAACAAATGTAGGATTGTGAATTTGTCCTTATTTCCCCAAGTTTCAGATGGGCTCGTGATTTTTGTATCTTAGATTGTACTTTTTTACCAATATAACGTATGAAGATTGTCAGTCTTTCTGTTATTTTGTTTTTGGTATATCTCTGGACTTTGCTTTCTTTAACCCTACCCCAGGCTTATTGTAGAGCATAGGGAGGTACATTAACATGTAAAGAAGAGAAATTGCCTCCCATAATCTCCCCACTCCATCACCTTAACATTTTGGGTTTGTTCCATGCATTAAGAGATACATGTTTCCTATATGTATGTAATTTTTCTCTTGCCTTTTTTGTTAGATTTTATGTTGATGAATGTTAATAGTTAATTCTTAGTGATGAAAATGTGGGTAACTATTAAATGGACCATTATAACCTTCAAAAATGATTTCATATTATTGAACCTAATACTGTTTTTTGTGTGTTTGTCTTTTCTAAAATTGTTCATAAGAACTACATGGCTATATAACATTCCGTTTTATGAATGGATCATAAACTGGTTACATCATCTTCTTCCTGTTTAACTTTTACTTGCTTCCATTTGTCCCATTTTAAAGCTGACACCTTTGTGGATACATTTTTGTGTTTTCAGTTGTTAGTTGGCAAAGATTCCCAGAAGTTGAATCACTGTGATCACTCCATTTAGAGCTCTTGCTATATGACTGTGTGCCAAGTTGTTTTCCAAAAGGTTTTAATCCCAATTAGCAATGTACTGTCTGGTTTTTTATTCTGCAATCTTGAGAAGTAAGAAATGAGTTTTTAATCTCTCAATTCATGAGGCTGAACATTTCTCCAAATACCCACAAATCATTTTTCCTCCTATTGGTTGTCTCTCTATCTTCTTATTTTGTGGTCTTAATATTATTTTAAAACATGAGCTCTGTTTATATTTCTTATAAATATCTTTACTCAGTTGATTTGCCTTTTGATTCATTTTGTGTTTTTGACAGTTTAGATTTATGTGGTCAAATCTGTTGATTTGACAGTCTGGGTTGAGTATTTCTTATCTGAAATGCTTGAGACCAGAAGTATTTCAGATTTGAGATTTTTAAAACTTTTACATTATGAGATATGTTGGGGTTGGGAGCTGGCATTGTGGCATAGTAGGTTAAGCTTCCGCCTGCAGTGTCAGCATCACATATGGGCGCTGGTTCAAGACCTGGCTGCTCCATTTCCAATCAACTCTCTGCTAATGTACCTAGGAAAGCAGTGGAAAATGGTTCAAGTCCTTGGGCCCCTGCACCCATGTGGGAGACCTGGAAGAAACTCCTGGCTTTGGCCTGGCCCGGCCGCTTTCATTGTGGCCATTTGGGGATATGAAATACCTTTGGGCATATGAAATACCTCTGTCTCTCCCTCTTTCTGTAACTCTTTCAGATAAATATGAAATAATTGTAAAGAAAATGAGATAAGTTGGGGATGGGGTCCAGGTCTAAATACAAAATCCATTTATATTTAATATACACCTTATAGCCTGAATGTAATTTTGTACAATATTTAAGTGTACTTGCACTTTGACTGCAATCTATCAGGTCAACTCAGTTGCGAATTTTCTGTTTTTGTTTTGTTTTGTTTTGTTTTTTATTTGAAAGGCAGAACAACATAGAGAGAGAGAGAGATGTTCCATTCACTGGTTCACTTCCCAAATGGCCATAACAATCAAAACTGCACCAGGCTGAAACTAGGAGCCTGGGACTCTATCCGGGTCTCCCACACGGGGGCCAGGGGCTCAGGTATTTGGGCCATCTTCCACTGCAGGGAGCTGGATCGAAAGCAGAGCAGCTGGGACTCGAACCGCCAGATATGGGATGCTGACATCACAGATGGTGGTTTAACCGATTGTGCCACAGCAGCAGCCCCAGTTGTGAGTTTCCCACTCTGACAGCATGTGAATACTCAAAATGTTTCAGATTTTAGAGCATCCCAGATTAGAGATGCTCACCCTGTAGCAGACAAAATATTGTTAAAAACTGTATTTGTGACTCCCCAGTCCCCTTTCTCATCCTTTCGTTCTCCAACCAGGAGACAGAGTAGGGACCTGGGAATAGGATTAAGTGAAGTTTTTTGTGGTTATGTTGACTTCAGTGGCTTCTGTGACACAGCATCAGAAGGTATCTGCTAAGTTCAGTCATCCTGGTTCAATTCCTCCTCTCTGTGTTACCCTCTGAATCTTGCTTTCATTTGAAATATTAAAGTAACAGAGGCTTATATGCTATAAAAAAATGAAATTCTCAAAGTCCCAATTAAAGGCACTTGCCTTTAATTCCTCTCCCTACCCAAACACCCAAGGCCTCCTAGAAGTCATTTCAAATTTGTCATCTGCCTGGTCACTTTTGTCCTTTTCCTCTTTCGCAGTGAAAGCAGCCGAGCGCCTCCCAGCGGTCACCCTGCAGCCTTTGGAAGGGGCCGGAGGCAGCTCGGAGCCCTCTTCCAGCACCAGGGCACTGGCCGGCCTGCCCTCTGCCCCATCCCTCGCCTTCGTCAAGGGGCGATGCATGCTCATCTCCCGGGCCCGCTTTGAGGCCGACATCGGCTACTCGGAGGACCTCATCGCACTGTTTAAGCAGATGGATTCCAGAATTTACGGCAAGTGATTGTTCCATGTCTGATGCTGGGATGAGGGGCAGTCGGTCCAGGATCTTGGCACAGAATGTTTTATCTGTCTTTGAATATTCAAAAATGACTTTCTTATCCTGGTCTGCTTCTGTTACTGTAACATCTCGGTTGTTCCAGAGAGTGAACCCACAGTGGGGGCCTCCCAAAGAGAGCACCCCACCATTTTTCTCAGTCACCTGATCCATGTCTTTGCCATCCAGCTCCATCTGTTTTTATTTTGGCCTTAGCACAACAGAAAAGCAGGTGGTGGCCATAAAAAGAAATGCCTTTCCAAGGACTGAGACAATGGTTTCCAACCTGTGGGACGCTCTTGGGGCTGTGTTCAACACAGATTGCTGGGCCTCACCCCCAGAGTTTCTCATTCTGCAGCCCCAGGATTGGAGCAGATGATCTGCTTTTCTCTCTTTTTTTATTTTACTTTTGTTTGAAAGGCAGAAAGACAGAGACAGACAGAGATCTTCCATTCACAGGTTTACTCCCCAAATGCATGCGACAGCTGGGGCTTGGCCAGGCCAAAGCCAGGAGCTGGGAGCTCAATCTGAGTTTTCCACATGGGTCCCTGGACCTCAGCACTTGGGCCATCACCTGCTGCCTCGCAGGGTGTGCATTAGCAGGAAGCTGGGATAGGAGGTGGAGCTGGGACTCAGTCCAGGCTGAGTGTGGGAGTGACCTGCTTTTCTGGGGGGTTTCCTGGTGCTGCTGCTGCTCTTTCTGGAGGCCAGCAGGGGCTCCACCCCTGCTGCCTGTTAGCGTCACTGTCTGCTCTCACCCAGGGAGGCTGATGGCATGAGTGAGGTGGGGCCTGGGCATTGGTGTCATCAAATCTTCAGATGAGACTGCTGATTGAGGACCACTGGCCAGAGCCAAGCAGTTTCGTGCTATTGTTTGTGAGATGCCTTAAATGCCGCCTGGTCAGAATATGTGGCAGAAGCAGCTTTAGAATTCTGCGCTCCTGTGATGAACATTTAGCTTAGTGGTTGGGACACTGGTTGGAGTGCCTGTAACCCGTATCAGGGACCTGGGTTCAGTGCCTGGCTGCTGACTCCAGACTCCTGCTGGTGTAGACCTGGGAGCCAGTGGTGATGACTCCAATAATTGGGTTCCTGTTACCCCCATTGGTGACCTGGATTGAGTTCCTGGCTCCTGGAGACATTTGGGAAATGAACCGGTAGATGGAAGTGCCATCTTTCCTGCCCCCTGCCACCCCCTTCTCTGCTTCTTCAGAAATTTTTTTGGGAGGAAAAAAAAAAGGAGTCTGGATTCCTGGGTTTTTGTCTTTAGCTTGGCCCCCTGGTGTTCATTAAAAATAGGGATCACTATTTCCTCATTCCTGATGATTCTGGTCTTTTCCTTAGGCAAGTAGAAAGCAAGCCCTTAACACTTTGTGCCTCTGAGACTTCGCATTCAGGCAGCATCCTGAAAGAAGGCTCTGTAGAATTATTTGAGCTCCCAGGGGAGGAGTTGGTGCTGGCGGTTAATTATCATTGCTTAGCTGTGCCCACCGTCAGCTTAGGAGAGCAGGCTTTGGGTGGCGGATGCTTGGCCCAGCCTGGTGGTCAGTCCTTCCTCCCTGAGCTCTCAGATGTTTGGCCTCTGCTTGCAGTGTCCCTTAAAGGGTGAATGCAATGATCTGTGTCTGTCTCCAGTCTGAAATGTCAACACCCCATCCTGCCCACGCCCAGCCATCCCAACATCCCAACACCATGGTTGGATTGGCTACCATAGCCATTAGTCGTGGGTTTTCTCTTGTGCTCCTGGGCCACTGTCAGGGCCAAGCTGTTCCGAGGCAGACTCTTCCTAGACTGGTCGCGTCTGCTTCTGGTCCTGCCTCCACGTGGACTTCCTTGCTCTTTCCTGGAACCAACTCGCTGTGTCCACGATCCCTTCATGCTAACCACCTTGCTTTGGAAATGACCCCACAATGAAGAACTGATTTTTGCTGTTCAGGTCGTATTTATCCAAGCCCAGGCTTTCTTGATTTTCCCAAAAGATACACGATGAGAGGAATGCTTGTTTGAATAATTAGCCACTGTTGGGTAGTAAGTGGCTCACCCTTCCCAGTTAATATTGTATGTCATTTATACTACACTCCACTAGTTAGCTGATAACATCTTAACAGCCGTACGGATAATTCACGATAACTAGCCTTCTGTCAGTGCGTGCTGTTTTCTAGGTACACTATTACAAGCATTCTGTATCGAAATTCCCCGAAATCCTCAGTAACTCTGTGAGGGAGGAGCTGTAGTGTCCTCAGTTTTCAGTGAGGGAAACTGAGGTGCAGAATTGTTGTCCCAGGTTGCACAGTTGGTAAGAGGCGGAGCTGGGGATTTGCACGTAGGAGGAGTGAGCAGTCTGACCGCACACAGCTTGTTTCCCACATACAAAATATGGCTGGTACTGCAGCCTACTTTCTGAGGCTGTCAGCGGCGGCAAGGGCCCCTCTTGACACAGTGCCTGGCCCTACTTGAGGACTGAACGAGTGTCAGCCACGTTGTTGCGCTGTTTTGGACATTCAGGGCATTTCTGGCCTGGGTCATCCCCAGTCGTGTGTCCCAGCAGCACCTTTCATCACAACCCTTCAGGCCAGTGTCGTCACTGCCCCTACCGCTCTGTTTTCCCTGTCTGCCGTAGAAGCCTTGGCATCCCCAGGGCCAAACACAGGACCAGCCACTTCGGCTGGGTTTAGTGGAGGTTTACGAAGCCGGAAGTAGATGAGCGTGTTGTTTGCTTATTTCTTTCTTCTCATTGCAGATGTCAAGACCAGGAAGTGGAACTTTCTCTTGGAAGAGCACAATAAACTAAGTGAGAAGCCTGCCTTGCTGCTTTTACATCATGCTGTTGCTAAGCTGTAATCACCTGCCTTGAAATTAATGTGTTTGGAAAGAACCCCCTCCTGCCTACTCTGTGGTAACTGCAGGTGCAGGGCAGGGGAAGGGGGAGATGTTTTCGAACAGCTTATCTGTCTGCTCAGGGGGTGGCCTGCAGTAGCTCCAGCAGACACAGGCCCTCTTCTTCCTCAAGGGTGAGGGGGTGCTGGTAAAACCCCCACAGCCTATGAAACCTTTTTGCTGCTTCTTACCAGTACTGGAAGCGAGGGTCATGGGCTAAGCTAGAAGCCACCTTAGTCTGCTGCTGGGAACAGGCTGTCAGTTAACTTCTGTAACAGCAAGTAGTGCTTCATGATGGGCTGCACTCTGTGAGGTGCAGAGGTCAAGGCCAGTGGACAGAAGTATAGGGACTGGCCAAGGGAAGGGAACCTGTGAGCAGTCACCACCCACTGCAGGAACGGGAAGCCAGTTTTGGCTTTTCATTTCTCTTCTGTGCCCTCTGCTTAGATGGGGCGATTACTTCAGATACTCCCGAGAGTCACAATCAACCTGTCCTGCAAAGCCAGTCTCCCTCTGTCTTCCAAGCTATACTGGCTGTGTGGTGGGTATGCAGCCTGCATGGGCTGTGTTCCTCCCACGTGACCCTCTGAGGGCTTAGTGGGCCTCCCCTACAGTGGAGGAAGCAGTCAGGCCAAGGAGACCTGGCCCAGCCTTGGGAGCTCCATGTCACTGGCTTTCTTGCCTATGAGGCTGGCAATTGAAGGTAGAAGGAAAAGCTGGCTTCTTTCCCACTGTCTCTTTTTTGTGTGCCTTATTGTGTGGTGTCAGGTGGATAAGTTGACATTCTGGGTCCCATTTGGTCATGCAGCCCAAGAAGGGATTTGCAAGCCTTGTGTGTACTGCTGACACAGGAATAAAACACAAGGACAGAGCGTTTGACTCCTGCAGGACAGACTTGCTGTGAACTGCAAGATTAAGTTTGAATATGAGGTGATGCTCACGTAGTAGCAGTGCAAGCATTGATCTGGGACTCTGCCTGCTGCCCTTGGGTACTTCTGACTCAGAAGGAACTATTTGGCCCAAGCCGAACCTTCGAGAAGAAGCTAGATCGAGCTCTTCGCTCTTGCTTTCTTGTGTCTTTCTTTCTTTTTTTTTTTTTGACAGGCAGAGTGGACAGTGAGAGAGAGAGACAGGGAGAAAGGTCTTCCTTTTGCCGTTGGTTCACCCTCCAATGGCCGCCATGGCCGGCGTGCTGCGCTGATCCAAAGGCAGGAGCCAGGTGCTTCTCCTGGTCTCCCATGGGGTGCAGGGCCCAAGCACTTGGGCCATCCTCCACTGCATTCCAGGGCCACAGCAAAGAGCTGGCCTGGAAGAGGGGCAACCAGGAAAGAATCCGGCGCCCTGACTGGGACTAGAACCCGGTGTGCCGGTGCCGCTAGGTGGAGAATTAGCCTATTGAGCCGCGGCACCGGCTCTTGTGTCTTTCAACCAAGAAACACATCTAAATATGTTAGCTACAAAGGCTTTGTCTTCTATGGAATGAAAAAAAGCATCAGCGTAAGCTGATGAACATGGCATTGGAAAACATGACCCATGACTCCCATGGCGTTATGTGGTGGTTCCTAATATTTGTGGGCCAGAGAATCCATGAAAACAATGAATTCTTCCCCCACATACCTCTCAGGTGCATTTTATGACCACATGTAATATGTCACTTTTGATGTTAAAATTTGAGTTAGGACTTCTAGATTTTGCATTTTTTTACATGCTACCTTGTCATTACAATGTCCTGTGGAAGAGAAGGCTGTATAGGTTGGAAAAAGCTTGGGCCTGGAGAAAGGAAGCAGTGGCTTTTCTTACTGGGAGCGTGACAGGGAGACAGTGAAGTCAGTAACAGACGTAAGGCTAAAGTTGCCCACCCCGTTTGTCACCTGACCCGTCAAAGAATGCAGAAGCCAGCAGGGGCAGCATGGGTGGTATAGCTAGGGTCTCAATTTCATTCTGAGTCCACCGTTAGCACACTGTAGTCCCGGGGGTTTGCGTCTTGTCTCACCCCGGGGTCTCCTTCCTCATGTGTGAAATTAGCTCCTGACCCTGAGTGAGTGAGCCTGTATACACAGCAGTGTATACAGTGTATACTAAGCGGTGACAGTGAGGCCTGAGCGTGGGACTGCTTGGTGACGTGCTGAGAGCCGTTCTTTCCAGCAAAGCCAATCTAAGAGCTTTCCTTTTCTCTCTGCTCAAGTGACTTGGGGCCTCTTGCCCACACTGGAGTTGGCATAAGGCCTTTTGTTTTCCCCTCGCTGTCACAGTCCAGAAGGGTTCTCCACAATTTGTTCTTGTCAGCTGCTATTTGAAAACAGTAGCATCTCTCAGCTGTGTGGCTAGCAGCGCTCTGCCAAAGAGCTGTTGTGTGGAATCCACTTCTCAGTGACTCACGAAGCCAGATGGCATGTGCCCATCATGTCCCAGCGCCAGGGGAAGGACAGTGGAGGCAGCTGTTGCCAAGGAGCGATGGCCTCAGCAGCACTGCCCGCTGACCCAACCGGCAGCATGGGAGCTTGGCGGTGGCGGCCGCTGGGAGACAGGGCGGATGCTGGTGCTTCCCCCTCGAGTGGCTGAAGGAGCACAAGGCCTGCAAAGCACCACGTTCCCCGCCAGCTGCATCCTCAGCCTCCTCTCTGCTTCCATCAGGTGTCTGAGTTCTGAGGATGCCTGGGCTTGAAATGGAAATGATTTCTGGAAGTGCACAGGGTGCTGCAGCTCCTGCAGTGGGAGGAAATGAGCACGCTCGGGTTGAATTGCGATGCATGAAATGTATTTCTGCATCAGGATGGGCAGTTTATTTTATAGTAGAGCTTTCAGCCTTACCTCCTTTACCTCCGTTCTGTTCATGGAAACTGTTTCCAAAAATAGCAGGTGAGAGGCCGGGCTGGATTTTAAACATCCTGGAAACACAGCAAGTGAATGTGGTCATAGAAGCTCCGCCCTGTGTGTTCCTACTGGTGTTTGCAGTTTCAGTACTTTAGGAGGATGTGAAGAAAACACATGGTCACACATGACCGTGTAGAATGGAGAACCATCCACTGTAGAATTTTGAATAATACTGGGCAGAAGAGCTCCTTGATTGGATACCCCTCAGTGGGTTACTGTGACTCCCAGGGTGCCCTTGAGAGGGTAGAGGGTAGAAGAGCAAGGGAAGAGCTGTAGGTCGTGGTTCCTGTGATGAGACTTTTCAGAGGAGAGTGGTGAGAGGGAAGACAGTGTTGGAGAACACAGCCTCCAGGCTGCAGGCTGTGCCCAGTGGTTTAGTGAAAATTCTAACTGCAGGGATCTTTATGTCCATCATCTTTACTCTCACTTTTCAACGTTTAACTTGTCATCCTGCCCCAGTATCTCTGATTGGGCTCTTTTCTCTGTTCCTCTGCTGAATAAAGTTTTCTTTTTCTTTTCTCAATTTTAAGACCAGGTCAGACTCCATTCTTTCAAGAAAAAAAATCAGTACAGTTGATTTGCCTTTATTTCTGTAATTTATTTTTCCCACTTGGGTTGGTGGTCCTCACTGGAAAAAGAGATCCATCCACGCTTCGTGAGGTTTCAGACGAGCATGCCTGGCAGGAAAGTCAAGGCCCCTGAATGCAATGGCAGGTCCAAGTAGCGGCCGCTCTGAGAAGCCATGTAGATCCCAAGCTTAGCAGGGACTGTAGAGGGCCAACGAGTAGAATCTTGGGCTTCCTGGGCCTCACGGTCTCTGTCCCACGGGCGAGTGAAAGCAGCTGTAGACCCTCCATAAGTAAATGGCACAGCTCGTGTTCCAGGAAAACTGTTGAACAAACCCAAACAGGCAGCAGGCCCACTGCTAGTGCCTGCTGTAGAGAACAGGTAAAGGAGCTAAGTCACCACGGAGACTGCTGGGAGACACCCCGCTCGTGGGCAGATACTTATCGTCGTAAAAAGGGTCAGACATGCAGCTTGATTGGTTTGTGGCCTGCATGGCCCCTACCTATTTGTAGAGAGCACTGCTGTCCTCCAGTCTTTCCCAGGAGTACCTGAGACCCTCTGGACAGAGCACAGGGTCACTGCCATTGCCACTAGCAGCGCCACAGTCACAGAACCCATCGACATGAAGTTTAAGGAGAAGGAAGCAAGACAAGATTTATTCCCCTTGGCCAGCGCCATGGCTCAATAGGCTAGTCTTCCGCCTGTGGTGCTGGCACACTGGGTTCTAGTCCTGGTCAGGACGCCGGATTCTGTCCCGGTTGCTCCTCTTCCAGGCCAGCTCTCTGCTGTGGCCCAGGAGTGCAGTGGAGGATGGTCCAAGTGCTTGGGCCCTGCACCCACATGGGAGACCAGGAGAAGCAACTGGCTCCTGCCATCGGATCAGCATGGTGCACTGGCCGCAGCGCGCCAGCCACGGTGGCCATTGAAGGGTGAACCAACGGTAAAGGAAGACCTTTCTCTCTGTCTCTCTCTCTCACTGTCCACTCTGCTTGTCAAAAAAAAAAAAAAAAAAAAAAAAAATTCCACTGAAGACTTGCTTACTTAGGGTTTGTTCTGGGCTGATTTTTTTTTTTTTTTTTAAGGAATTTGAGTCCTTATTTATTTGAATGGAACTTTTAAAATACCACTTCAGGTTAGAAAAAGGAAACAGTTGCCAGTTCTTCCCAGTGTTTGTGCAGCCTAGCAAGGCCACTGCAGCACCGTGCCCTGCTTGTTTTCAGAGATCAAGGACGAGAGGGGAAGGCAGTTCTCCAGGCTCACAGGCATCAGCCCCCAATGTGCCCTCCAGTTAGCACTTTCGGAAGCTGGGCTGTAGCAGAATCACCGCTTTTGCTGTGTCCCAGGGCCCCTTCTCCTCCTCCAGCTCTTGGGGCCATTAACAGGCTCCTGGCTCACCCGCCTCTGCTCTTCCTTCCAGTTGAAAGGGTGCGCTGCCTCCCGCAGGTCCAGCTGGATCCCCTGCCCAAGACCCTCGTCCTGGCTTTCGCCTCCCAGGTGGAGAAGACGTCTCTCCATCCCACACCGGACGTGCCCGAGGCTGACCTTTCTGGAGTGGACTCCAAGCTCGTGTCTACTCTGATGCCCTTTCAGAGAGCGGCAGTCAAGTAGGTTCCTGATCTTCCTCTCTCTCTGCTTGGGTTGGATCACTCACCAATGACAGGGCTCTGATGCCTCTCTCATGGAAGCATCTAGGTGTTAACCAGGTGTGCTGTTGCCAAAGCCTTATAGTAACCGTTGCTTTCAGATTCCATGAACTAACAGACTCTGGGTTGCAGGTGAGCTTCAGGAAAGAGGCAGCTCCCAGCGCGTGGTGCAGGAAGTACAGAGCTCTTTCTCTCTCGTCTCTGCCCTCTTCTGAGTTTGCTCTATCCCCAGCCAGGTGCTGCTCGCAGGTGGTGGCTAGGTTTCCAGCAGCTTCTAGCTTGCATCCCATCAGCTCAGCAGCCCAGCAGAAGCACCCCTTTCCTGATGAGTTTGACACTGCAGTGGCTTAAGTCTGGTGCTGATGTCCAAGCCAGTCCCTCAGGGTTGGGAGCTTGAAGACTTGTTGATGAGACCCAGTGACAGGCACATCCCTGGAGCAGAGGACAGGGCCAGCCCCACCCCGGTTGGTAGGACTGAGAGTAGGAAGTGGTGGCTCTGCGAAGAAAGCCAGGGTGCTCCTGGTGTCGAGAGAGGAAAGCCGTGTGCTGACCCGTCCTCTCCTGCAGCTTCTCAGAGAAGCAAGGCGACTGCTTTGAACTTGCTTTCTCATGAAAAGATGGGAGTTCAAGGAGAGGAAAGAGACCTCAGAAGTCCGTCCAGAAACAGTAAGAGTGACAGCTGTTACTGGGCTGTCGGATTGAAAGAGCCCTGTTATCAGTGCTGCGGCCCAGCCTGAAGCCTCACGTGGCTGTTGCAGACAATGGGATTTTGTTCCCCATGTGCCTTTTGGGCGCTGCCTCCCCTTACCTCCCTCCTGTGGCCCTAGCCCTGTCCACCAGCCTTTTCTTCCCTTCCCTTCCCTTCCATCCTCCATCTCTCAGTTAATGCACTTGCTCTCGTCTTGCTTTGCCATGCCAGTCCTTCATCTGTTGAGATCTCTGGACCTCTTTTTTTTTTTTTTTTAATATCTACTTATTTATTTATTTGAAAGGCAGAGTTACAGAGAGGCAGAGACAGAGAGAGAGAGAGAGAGAGAGAGGTGTCTTCCATCTGCTGGTTCACTCTCCCAGTAGCTGGATCTGTGCTGATCCAAAACCAGGAGCCAGGAGCTTCTTCTGGGTCTCCCATGTGGGTGCAGGGGCCCAAGGACTTGGGCCATCTTCCACTGCTTTCCCAAGCCATAGCAGAGAGCTGGATCAGAAGTGGAGCAGCCAGGACTTGAACCAGCACCCAGATGGGATGCCAGCACTGCAGGCAGCAGCTTTACCCACTATGCCACAGCACCGGCTGCAGACTTCATTTTTGACCAGGCCCACGGTGGCTGTTCCCTTGATCTTTCTTCTCGGGGCTCCTTCAGTAAAGGTGAGACTTGGACTGCCCAGCCCCAGCCCTCGGGTAGCCCCTGTTTTCTGTATCCAGGTTCTTCGTGGCTGGGGATAGTCACCTGTTATGCATGCTGGTCTTGCCAGTTTGCCCCAGTACACTGAGGGGCGATGTGTGAGGCGCAGGCAAGTGGGCACAGGATGCGTTAGCAGCAGAAGCGGAGCACGGCCACAGCTTTCACCTCGCTCCGTGGCTCTGTAGCTACTGGTGGTACCTGTACCCCTTCTTCAGGCGTTTCTAATAAATTGCCCATCTCACGTTTTATCCTCTGAGGAGGTGGCAATTTGGAATTGGAAGGAATTTCATGTTTTGTTGAACACAATTGAGCACACCCTTAAATTCTTGGAGCAGAGTCTCTTAGAGATGTCAGCTTCCTGCCAGACCCAAGTGGGCCCATTCAGCAGGTCAGTGAGTCAGGCATTAGAGGTAGCCATGTGCCAGAACTCACTGAGCTGGGGTGGGTGATTCCTGGTGATGAGTGCAGTGTGGTTCCCTTCTGTTCTCCTGGGATGGCCCGGAGCTGTTGTGTTTCTCTGTTACAAGTTTTGGCCTCTTTGTTCCCTAGTGGGGCTGCCTCAAGGCAGGGGAGAAAGGAAAGAGACAGCCTAGGGACCCATGGTGCTTTGAGAATGCCCCAGGGACCAAACCATGTGGAAATGGTGAGTGGGAAAGTGGAGGAGACAGACAAAGCCGCTCCAGGGGGGTGGCTTCTCTGTGGATGCTGTTGCTTGGGTGCTGCCTGTCCTGCCTGGTCACCAGTTCTGCCAGTCAGAGGGTGGGGTAAAAAGTACATCTCCCCACACCTGCCCTGCCCCATCAGTCTGTGGGTGGGTTGATCCCAGAACTGGTCTGGAAGGTTTCCCAGGGCCTGTGCCCAGTTGGAAGGGGTGACATAGCACAGCCAGATGCCTTTCCTCCCCATGGAAGGACCTCGCTGGCCAAGTCACGGGGCTGCAGGAAGGGACACGCCTGTCACCCTAGGGGCCACTGTGGCAGCTGGGGGGTCAGTGAAGTGCCACAATAGCTTGCCCTTTTTTTCTTTTCTTTTCTTTTCTTTTTTTTTTTTTGACAGGCAGAGTGGATAGTGAGAAAGAGAGACAGAGAGAAAGGTCTTCCTTTTTGCCGTTGGTTCACCCTCCAATAGCCACCATGGCTGGCGCACTGCGGCTGGCACACCACACTAATCCAAAGGCAGGAGCCAGGTGCTTCTCCTGGTCTCCCATGCGGGTGCAGGGCCCAAGGACTTGGGCCATCCTCCACTGCACTGCCGGGCCGCAGTGGAGCTGGCCTGGAAGAGGGGCATCCGGGACAGAATCCGGCACCCTGAGCGGAACTAGAACCTGGTGTGGCGCTGCAAGGCGGAGGATTAGCCTATTGAGCTGCGGCTCCAGCAATAGCTTGCCTTTCATCTCCACATCTGGAGATCCACTGCTGGGTTTCCTTCTTTAGCAACAATGTTTCCAGGCAGTGAAAGGCGGAGTCCAGCCTGGAGTTACTGCAGGGAAGGAAGAGAGCTATTCAACAAGCATATTACCGCCAGGTTTCGGAACAGATTCTCAGTGTTGTCAGAGTTAGAGTGAAAGAGGGCTAGCGTTGGGAGCAGGGGACCGCACGTCTAGCACTCACAGTCCTTCTGGCTTCCCACGGATTCATTGTGTGGCTCAGCAGGTCGTTTTTACTGTTTGTGTCGATTCTTTTTCTCCTTTGCATGGAATGATAGTTACAATAGAGACACTTGCTTAGTGCTTGCCGTGGTGCCAGGCACTGTCTCAAGTGCCTTGAGCGATTGAGCCTTCCCCAGCAAGTCACCAGGGTGGGTACAGTTTTCCCCTCCCATCTTATTGTTGGCAGAGCCAAGGTGTGGGGGGCTTACATGGCGTGCACAAAGGCAGACAGCTACTAAGCGGTGGAACCGGGATGCCAGCCCCAGCCCATCTGGCTCCAAAATTGTGGAATCCACCCTCATGTAGCAACTATTAGAAGGGGTCATTGCCCGTGAGGACTTTAGGGTCCTGGAGGCTGCTGGCTGGCGAAGAACCCCTGCTGAGGTCAGTGCCCCCTCCCTCCTTGCCCCCCAGGCCAACGCGCTTGCTCGCAGGAGGCCCGGTCTGTCCTTACCAGTGTCCTGTCTTGGCGGCTCCCTGCCTCTGCCTTTGCACATGCAGTCTCCCTGCTCCTGAGAAAGCCTCCTGCAGTCGCACCAGCTCTTCTTTCCTCCCTGCCTTTTAGGCAGTGTCTGACGTGAGGATACCGCCCCGCTGAGCCCCACCGCGGACTCTGCGTGCTCCTCGTGCACCGCTGGGCCTTGCCTGCCTGGGGCGAGGCTGACTCCTCACAGAGCTTCCTCCCTCAGCTTCCATGACCTCCTCATTCTCTAGATCTTCACCCTACCTTTTGGCCACCCTTCCACATTTGTCCTAGTTTGACTGTCTTTCATGTTAAAAAAAAATATATATATTTTTAATGTATGTATTTAAGAGACAAAAAGAGAGACAGAGGCAGAGAGGTCCCATCTTGTGTTTCATTTCCCTAAATGTGCACGTCACTGGGGTTGAGCCCAGCTGAAGCTGAGAGTAGAACCGAATCCAGTTCTCCCACGTGGGTGGCAGGAACGCAGTGACTTGAGCCATCACCTGCTGCTTCCCAGAGTCTACTTCAGCAGGAAGCTGGAGTCAGGAGTTAGAGCCACGTTAGAACCCGGCCACTCCAAAATGGGACACGGTGTCGTAACTAGCATCTTAACTGCACAGCTGAATGCCCACCCCTGCTTCCTTTTTTGTTTTTTAAGATGTATTTGCTTACTTGAGAGGCAGAGTTACAGACAGAGAGAGAGAGACAGAGGGAGAGATCTTCCATCCGCTGGTTCACTCCCCAAGGGGCTACAATGGCTGGAGCTGAGCTGATGTGAAGCCAGGAGCCAGGAGCTTCGTCTGGGTCTGCCACATGGGTACGGGGACCCAACCGCTTAGGTCGTCTTTACAGCTTTCCCAGGCCATTATCAGGGAGCTGGATCAGAGGTGGAGCAGCTGAGACTTGAACCGGTGCCCACATGGGATGCTGGCGCGGCAGACGGATGCTTAACTACTATGCAACAGCGCTGGCCTCATGCTTCCTTTTTTTATTCACGTATTGCGCCCCTGGTTGTCTGCTGCTCTCTCCTCCTTGGGGAGCGAGTTTTGCTGTGAGGATGGCCCATGCTGAGTGGTGCAGTCGCTTACGGCACCCAGTGCTTACCCGCTTCGCTGAGCCGGATTAACTGACGCCCCAGGAGAATGGACCCTGCTGTTGACGTTCCCTCGTGTGCTTTCAGTTTTGCCATAGCCAAGAGAGGCCGCCTGCTGCTTGCCGACGACATGGGCCTGGGGAAGACCATCCAAGCCATTTGCATCGCCGCCTTTTACCGGAAGGAGTGGCCGCTGCTGGTGGTGGTGCCATCCTCCGTGCGCTTCACCTGGGAGCAGGTGAATTCTCTCTGTCTTGGGAATCTTACCGAGGGTTGCCCTCGGTGTTAAAGTAATAAATAAATAAATAAAAGTCTGCTTTTAGGGAGGAAAGCCAAGGAGTGACTGTCATAGAGACTCAGGTCCTTCTGTCAGCTGATCCCTGCAGCGCCCCTGCTGGCCTGCTGCCCGTACCCTCCAGCCGTACCGCACTTTATTCTCAAGGTTTTTTTTTTTACCTCCTTTATTTCCCCTAAATCCCATTGTAGTCAGGTGCAGTGGCCCCCCGACAGATGACCAGACCGACTCCCATGGGGCTCCACGCGTCCTGCGGGTGAGGTCCCCTTGGCTGACGTCTCGGCCCAGGGTTTGCTGTGGGTCAGCGTTCACTGGCTGCCGGATGCCTTTGGAGGGGAAGGGCCTGACATGAGCACTGAATTATCTCTCACCCTGGAGCTTTTCCTACTGTACATCCAGGAGTCAGAGTGGTTCTGTGACATGAATTGAAATCCCCCCAAGCTCACTCAGCTTAGGAAGACCTCGCTCGCTGGCTGGGGCCGTTCCAAGCTTTGTATGGCTGCCGTCGACCTATGACTCCCTCAAAGTCTCCCTAAGCCGCCGTGGAGAGGAGGCAGCTCCACCTGCTGCTGCTGAGCCTCCTGCTTAGACGTGCTACTCTGACCTAAGATAGACCAAACAGCTTCACGAGTGTGCATCAGAACAGTGCCTTGTTCTTTTCCTGACCTTGTAATCAGGAAGGCAGGCACTCAGTATGTGCGTTGTGTGTGTTAGAGTCCCACTGCACCTTCACAGATTCTGCGGGAGAGTCAGATAGGCACATGGTTACGAGCAGGCCTGGGACTACGAAAGGCCAGCACCCCTGGTATCACAGCAGTGTCAGCCAGGCGGGGGAGCAGCTGGCCACCTAGGTGCTGACATGGTACCTGGAAGACTTCTGCTGGCTCCGGGTCCTGGGTTTGACTAAAGAGGGTAAGATTGCTGGGGGGAGCAGGTGGCTAGGTAGAAAACATTGATGTAAACATTTCCAGTGTCATCAGGGAACACTCAGTTTGCCTTCAGCCCTTTATAGATTTCTTTCTGCTAAGTCGTTTAGAAAATTCTTGAGAAGAGTCGTGTTCTTTTACTGCAGAAGCCTGCTGTGTAGTCAGAGACCACTTAGATGGAACCCACAGCTGCCGACGGGGAGGGGGGTACCATCAGTGGCCAGCGAAAGAGTGGGTGATGGGGAGAAGGGCACCTGTGTGTGGGACAAGGGTTGTGGCAGACACAGGTGGACATGCACGAATGAAACTGGGTTCACTTTTCAGGGAAGGCTGAAGTTGGCCCACCGTGCAGGTGTCACTACGTGGGCTGCGGCTGCAGTGGCAGTTGCAGTGCCAGACCCTCATGTGGGTTTTGTTCTCTCCTGTCACCCCCAGGCCTTCCTACGGTGGCTGCCATCTCTGAGCCCAGATCGCGTCAACGTCGTGGTGACCGGGAAGGACTGTCTGACAGCTGGCTTGGTCAACATTGTCAGTTTTGACCTTCTTAGCAGGCTGGATAAACAGCTAAAAACCGCCTCTTTTAAAGTTGTCATCATTGTAAGTGGCTTGGCAAGGATTTTCTGTTTGTTCTTATTTTATTTATTGGGGGGGGGGGGATCCCATCTGCTGATTGACTTCCCAAACCCCAAATGCTCACAACAGCTGGAGCTGGGCCAGGCTGCAGCCAGGAGCTGGGAATCAGTCTGGTCTCCCGCATGCATGGCCGGGACCCGATCTCTTGTGCCCTCACTGATGCTTCCTGGATTTTTTATTAGCACGAGGCTGCAGTCAGGAGCCAGGCCTAGGAATTAAGATGCTGGGACAAAGGCATCTTAGCTGGTGTCTCAGCCGGCAGGCCAATGCCTGTCCCTTGGCAAAGTAATTTATCTCTGGAAACCTTTCGTTAAAAGTACTAAGAATTCTGATGTCTTACCGAGCCTCAGTCAGTGTCTAGGAGAGTAGAAATCACTGTGTTTATTTTGTGGGGAACTAGTGTTTCTTCCTCTCAAATCAGGGTTCTCAGCCCGCCTGATGTTAGCATATCCCAGGCAGCTTTTTCCAAAATATGATGAATCAGGCATGCTGGGACTTTCTAGCCCATCTCTTCCACCATGTGAGGTCCTAGGTGGAGCCCACACATGAACTCCAGGCTGCCTGAGGCTCCAGGGACCCACTGGAGACAGCAAGGAGTAGCTCAGACTCACAGCTCAAGCAGTTAATTGATGTCTTCCAGCCACTGTGGAGTCACAGCATCTCTCCCCCTAGGGGGGAAAAAAAAGTATGTTTTGCACTAGTATTTTTATTTCTTGTAACAAAAGTCTCACAGATTTGATAGCACACCTGTCAGTTACTGGCTTTCCTTCTTTTAACTGCTCACACGCTTCATAAGGAAAGCACAGGCGGCCTTGGTACCCAGCCAGCTCTGCCAGCACTGAGGGTGTCGACGCAGCTCGCAGATGAAAGTATTGCGGCAGGAGGAGACACAATTGCTGCCCTCAGGGAGTCTGGTGTTGTGTTTTGGACCTAAGAACAACACTGTGTTCTTAGCATAAGAAAATGTAAATGTGGACATTTTTTTTCAAAGCTAAAACATCTCTCTGAGTCTTACGGGGAGTCATTTCTGGTTTGGCACAAATTCAAGTGTGGCTTTTTAAAAATGTCAGCCGGCATGTGAAATGAAAAACAGTAGAAGGTGTTCCAGGATGATGGCAGGAGCTCTAGGGTGTGTAGGCAGAACAATACCTTCCTTTCAGGTGTGTTACCTTCCATTGGGTCCTTCATATATGATCGCAGATCCTCCCACCCCAACCCCCCGGAGCAGGTATCCTGCGTCCTTGTGAGGCATCCGCTTCACAGCTGGCGAGCCTGACTGTGAGAGAGACTACAGGCAGGAGCCAGCAAGCTCGAGAGGAAAGCTGAGTTGCCCCTGGCTTCAGCATCCTTGCCGCTCTGGCTCTGGCCCCTCACCTACCCTGCCGTCTGAGTTTGGGCCAGCTGCTTACCACCAGGGCTGGTTTATTCTGCAGCTGAGGAAGAGCCCAGTCCTCTTTGGAGGAATGAAGTGGCCGCTCTGAGATGTCCCAACTCTTAGAGAAGCTTCAGGTTCCGGCTGTTCCTGCAGCCCGTTCCAGTCATGCCACGCTTTTCACCCGTTGGCTGAACAGGTCCGCTGCCTTCCACGTTTTGTATTTGCTGCGGTTTCTATCTGTAAACACTCTTCTCACAGCTGTCATGAGGGCTTGCCGTGAAACTGGAGCACAGATCTTAACACTGCAGGATTCTGGGGCTGAAACTGCCCTGGCGTTTCGGGGTCATCATCTCACGTTCGCCCCCCGTCGTGCTTTTGAGGCCTCTTTTATTCCCTATAGCTGATATGGAACAGGGACTACTGGTTCACCTTCAGGGACGGAGCCGGGCCCTGTCCGGTAGCTGCAGTCATGCAGTCATACGATGCTGTTGAGTGCTGTCTGAGTGACAGGACTTCCAAGGGCTTTACATGTGTTAGCCCATTGAAGACGTAACAACAACCTCATGCTCTGGAAACTGTTATACCCATTTTACAGATGGAGAAACTGGTACCATAGAGAGGCGATGTAGTTGCTCAGAGTCATTCACCAAGGCATCCGTGTACCAAACCATAAACTTGTCCCCAACGACTAATAATGTGTTAGATGTCTATTTGGGTTTAGCAGCTGTAGCGAACTTCATGTTTGCTCACGCACAGAATGCAGCTCTGTAAGCAATCAGCCTCTGGGCTCCGAACATCACATGCAGTCCCTTGAGGACAGGAGTCCTGTCATTGTCCTCCCAAGTCTGAGTTCCCACAGTGCTCTGTCCACACCCGCCTCAGTGCCAGTGCTTATGTCTGATCAGCTGTTGGCGTGTCTGACATCCTTATTGCACTGCAAGCCCCCGGGAAGTGGCCAGGCCCCCCAGAGCCTCACACAGAACAGGACACTCAGTGGGTCTTCAGCACTCCACTCTCATGCCCCTCACAAGGCAGTGGGCAGGGTGAAAACCACCAGTCCCACTTCCTGGGTGGGAGAGTGTCCCCGAGAGCTGAAGCAACTGACCCGTGTGGTAGAGAAGCTGCCCTCCAGTACCCTGGGTCCTTCCCTAGCCCACAGCTCTGTCCCCTGGATGATGATGTCCCCAGGGAGGCATCTGATACTCAACAAATGCCAGGCCAGCATCAGGCATGAGGTGTGCCCGCTCTCTGTCCACTCAGGAATGCACCTTGTTTAACTACATTGCTGTTTGCTTTCTAGGATGAATCCCACTTCCTCAAGAATAGCAAGACAGCCCGCTGCCGAGCCGCTATGCCGCTCCTGAAGGTGGGTACTGCTGGGAAGAGAGGGAGCCTGAATTTGGACCAGCTGCAAGACCTGCTGTGTTTGCTCGGGTTTGCCGAGGGTCCTTGGAGAGCAGGGCTGCAGTCCATGCCTGGGGCCTGAGACAGAACTCAGCATCGACTCAGGGCATCTGGTTCATTTTCCTCCTGATACCCTGCTAAGGAGCCAACAGTCAGTGCTGTCATCCCTGTCTCAAGTTGAAGACCTATTGAGGGTCACAGGTCGGGCTGGACTCCAGGATCCTCCTCTAGGGAGAGTCTCCAGCAACTCAGGAGAAACTGCCGGTCTCTAAGTCATTTGTAGTGGCAAAGCCATCGAGGCCCTGGGAGCCCAGAGGATGAGTTACACAGATTAAGAACCAGGCTGGGCCGGCGCCGCAGCTCACTAGGCTAATCCTCCGCCTGTGGCGCCAGCACACCGGGTTCTAGTCCCAGTTGGGGCGCCGGATTCTGTTCCAGTTGCCCCTCTTCCAGGCCAGCTCTCTGCTGTGGACAGGGAGTGCAGTGGAGGATGGCCCAAGTGCTTGGGCCCTGCACCCCATGGGAGACCAGGAGAAGCACCTGGCTCCTGCCATCGGATCAGCGCGGTGCGCCGGCTGCAGCGCACTGGCCGCGGTGGCCATTGGAGGGTGGTGAACCAACGGCAAAGGAAGACCTTTCTCTGTCTCTCTCTCTCACTGTCCACTCCGCCTGTCAAAAAAAAAAACAAAAACAAAAACAAAACAGTCTGGAGCTGGTGTCTCGTCAGGAAGTGCTGGCCACACTGAGACTTGTCCCAGTAGCCGAGACCCTTCTCCATGCTGCCCTAAGCCTGTTGGGTTAGTGGGAGGACCAGCTCCCTACATTCCTGTCGGTGATGGTGTGATGGTGTGAGCACTGGCCTCAGGGCAGGTGGGCATGGGTATGTGGTGTAGGTTCAAGTCTTTTTGCATGTCATCTGACGTGCAATCTAGGCTGCATGTTTCTTCTGTGTCTGCTCTGTGTTCCTGTGCCCTACCCCGGACAGGGGCCGGCCCCCAGCTTTTCTTCTGTGTTTGTAGAGTGAGTTTTTCCTTATATTGGGAAAAGGGGAAGTGTAATTAGAAAAGTCCCCGTTCCTCGCATGCCAAGTAAGAAATCTCCCACAGATGACTTTGGAGAAATCCACTTTGTTCTGTGTGGGCTGAGCAGAGTGTAGGTCCACCCTCTACTCTATTAAGACAGCATTTGTGTTGCACAAAGCTTTGGGAGCCATCATTGTGGAACAGTGGTAAAGCTGCCCCCTGGGACATTGCATCCCATATCAGAGTGCCTGGGGTCCAGTCCCGCCTCCACTTTCCACCCAGCTTCCTGCTAATGTGCACCCGAGAGGCAGCAAGTGATGGTCCAAACACTTGGGGTCCTGCCACTCATGTGGGAGACCTGGCTGGAGTTCCTAGCTCCCGGCTTCTGCCTGGTCTAGCCCTGCCTATTGTGGGTATTTGGGGAGTAAACCAGCAAGTGGGAGATATTGCTCCCTCTCTCACTCTGCCTTTCAAGTAAATAAATAAAATCTTTAAAAAAAAATATATATATATATATAGTTCTTATTTGAAAGTTTAATTTTTACCCAAGCTTGGGAAACCAAATATGCTAAATGTTAGTGAAACTTAGTATTGGAAAATTATCTTAATTCTACTGACCACCTGCAAAACACATTTAGGTGCCTGCTATTTCAAGCTTTAGGTTTTTTAGGGCTAGCAGGCAATATATCTCTTCCGAGACAGGTTGATGTCATAGGCTCCAAATCTGAAAGTAAAAGTCCTTTACTTAAAAGCTTGATCCTCTGCTCATATTACCTATAAATATTTATATATCACTGGCCATTTGGGGACCCACTAAAAGGAATTCATTTTCCTAGGGTGGTGACCCCTTCTTTTGGGAGACTTTAATGTGTTTTCCTTAGAAAAATACTCTTAGGCCTTTGTACTGTGGACCCAATATTAGAGCCATAACTAAAATTAAATCTAGACCCCTGATTGTTTAGACAAAAGAAATTGCTCAATAGATAGATTGTATCATTAACATTAGAATATGAAAGCTTCGAAGCAGAACCAGCGTCAGTGTCGGTGCAGCAGCTGCCTGGCCAGGCCCGCTGCTACATGTCGGTGCCCGAGCTCTGTGCCTCTGAGCCTTTGGGAACAGCAGGTTCCTCTTTAATGTCTTGGACGTATTTCAGAGTGACACATTTGAAAAAAATCTTTACACTTCTAACTAGTACGCTGTAGTCTGTGGTTGCTATAGAATCTGGATGGATTTATCTTTTAAAATAGGACCCATAGGCCAGGCTTGTTCTTCCTGCGGGTGGCCTGAGGCCACTCTCTTCTGTCCCATTGACTTCATGGAATGCTGGACCATGGCAGGGTTGGGATGTGGGAGTAGGATAGGGCGTTTTATGCTACTCTGTTAAGTAAACATTTCATCTCTCTGCTCTGTTTTCACCTAGATTGTAATCTTCGTGCTATTGACATTTTAGGTTGGACAGTTCTTTGTGGTGGGGAGCTGCCTGTGCACTGTAGGGTGTTTGATAGCATCCTTGGCTTCTTCCCACTAGATGCCAGTAGTACCTCCCAGTTGTGATAACCAAAATTGTCTCCAGATGTCGCCAAATGGCCCCTGGAGGGGACAGATTACTGCCTGCCCATCTCGTACTCCTCCACCCATGTTGAGAAGCGCTGATCTAAATACGGGTACACTGGGGAAATTAATCTGAATGTTTTTGGAATAAGAGGCTAATTGGGAGGAAGTAAAGTATGTCTTTGAAAAGCCACATAAGGGCCTAATTTAATACCACTTGATTGTTCCTCTAATGTGTACATCTCTTAGAACTATGTTCTGATAATTAATATCAGAAGATATTTTCAGCAGTATGCTTAATGAGGTAATTAGACTTTATGGTGCAATCTTTTTGCGATAGCAGGGCCCGATCCTGCAGCAGTTGGCATTTAAAGGATGTGTTGTTAGGTTATAAGAAACTGGTGCCATTATTTCCTGGGAAATGTGACATCTTCCTTCCCCAACACACAGCTTGCCTAGGCTACTAATACTAAGTAAGGTGTTTGTATTTTTACATGCAGATGTGTGAAAGCAGGCAAGACTGGAAGTTGTAAGAAACAAGGTTAAAATCACCTTTGGTCCGTGCAGGGGAGGAGACAGTTGTTGGCAGTCTGGTTATTCTTCTAACATGTTAGTTGTAGGGCAGGATCATGCCCTTCAGTAGTCTGTCCTGTAGACACAGCTCCTGCACTCACCCCAGTGTCAGGTACTGGGTTGCTTCCCTTTTGTGCAGTTATAAATAATTCTAGAAGTGAACGTTGAATATCCATATGTACCTTGCTTGCATAATTATCAGAACAGATTTCTACAATCAGAATTGCTGTTTCAGTTTTCATTTTATCCTTTCCTGGAAGCCTTTGAAGTACAGTGTGGCCAGGCATAGTAGCCATCTTCACTCCCATCCAGCCCGTACTGGGGCCTCTCTTTGTGTACACGACTCCAGCAGTGCACATTTGAACAGTGAGGTGTGTTTGGGTTGGTTGGTTTGTTTAGTTTAATTGTGTCTTATTTACCTTGACTTCATTGTTACAACAGTGTAATGACAAAATAAGTCATTTGTTTTAAAGATTTTATTTATTTATTTATTTATTTATTTTGACAGGCAGAGTGGACAGTGAGAGAGAGAGACAGAGAGAAAGGTCTTCCTTTTGCCGTTGGTTCACCTCCAATGGCCGCCACGGCCGGCGCACCACACTGATCCAAAGGCAGGAGCCAGGTACTTATCCTGGTCTCCCATGGGGTGCAGGGCCCAAGCACTTGGGCCATCATCCACTGCACACCCTGGCCACAGCAGAGAGCTGGCCTGGAAGAGGGGCAACTGGGACACAATCCGGTGCCCCCACCGGGACTAGAACCCGGTGTGCCGGCGCCGCAAGGCGGATGATTAGCCTAGTGAGCCGACAGAGAGAGGGAGAGAAAGGAAAAAGATCCCCACTGCCTTACCCTCTTTTCCTAACGAATAGCTGTTTTGCTCTTTCTGTGAGTAGTGTACTTTTTGTGTGTCTGTTGACTTGATGAGATGGTATATACTATGTGAGCTTTCTCCTTTTCGTTTTTCTTAAATAGATGATGAATTCAAATGGTGCAAAAGAGTGAATAGTGAAAAATAATTCTTCCTGTCACCTCTGGATCCCCCATCCCTTGGTGTCTGTCCCTGAGGTAGCCATGGTTACCAAATTTTCAGGTTTACCTCTGTGAAGTAGCCCACTCACATGTAAGTAGGGTTATGTGTATTTTCTTTCTCCCTCCACAGTGTTCTGTGACCAGTTTTATGTCCACCTTTTTCCCTTCACGTATCTTGGAAGTCATTCCATATCCTGCCACATGACTCTTCACTCATTCTTACAAACAGCGTTCTGGGGTCATGCATTGTGGTGCAATGGGTTAAGCCCTATATCAGACTGCCTGGGATCAAGTCCTGCCTTCGCATCTAGTCTCTGCTAACGTACACTGGGGGAGGCAGCAGGGGATGGCTCAGGTACTTATTAGGTCCCTCCCACCCATGTGGGAGATCCTGATGGAGTTCCCAGCTCCTGGCTTTGGTTTGGTCCAGCCATGACTGTTTTGTGCATTTGGGAAGTGAACCAGCAGATGGAAGTACTTGTGTTCACTCTCTCTGGCTCTCTCTCTTTCTGCCTTTCTAGTAAATTAAAATAAATGACTTTGAAGATCGCATCCTGTTGCATAAATGTATTAAAGTCCATATTTTCCATTTCCTGTTGGTAAATGGTAACTTGGCCTCAGCTGATACCTCCCACACAGCAATGACCATCTTTTCATGCAATAGGGAAGTGGGGAGCAGAAAACCTCATCCCCCTACATCTGAGAGATGGCTCTTGGCCTCTCCTAGGGCAGAGGGGAGGGAGTTGTCAACCTGTGTATTCCATTTTCTTCCCTGGTATGATGACG